GACAACTTGAAAATTCCACGCTCGTAGAAAGTCTGATCCTTTTCAGCCAAAAACTGAGTTAAGTGAGATTTTACAGCGTCATCATCGTTAAAAGTTTTACCACGAAGGGAGTTGTCCAGGAATCGAAATAAGTGGTAATCCGATGGCGCGAGATCAGGGCTATATGGTGGGTGTAACATCAATTCCCAACCAATATCCATCAATTTTTGCCGAGTGGACAAAGACGTGTGCGGCCTAGCATTGTCCTGCTGGAAAATGACACCTTTACGATTGACCAATTCTGGTCGCTTTTCCTTGACCGCTGCATTCAATTTGTCCAGTTGCTAACATTCACGGATAATAAAAAATAACATAATAATAATAATAATAATAACTTTATAATATAACATTTACGGATATCATAAAAATGGGAGTAAGAGACATCTATAACTGAAATCGGCAGTTACTTAGTTGCCAACCCAATATTTCATAAAACTCAATGTTTTCGTAAATTTCCGAATATGAAAACTCAATGAATGAATTAAAACTGCGATTGTTGTTACTTGTATGTCATAAATTATCAGTATTAAACGTATAACGAAATTGTTTTTACAAGATTTGTTTTTACAAGATTACACACTATATAAACTCTGTTAGATTTTATTACTTTTGTAAAGTACTGCAGTATTTGGGCCGTCCGCAGTAATACCCACACTTACCCTACATCGCGACGGTACAAATGGAAGACTGTTTAATGTGTACAGTACGGGTCGTTCATTTGGGCCGGCGTCGAGCTCGAACAGCCGAGCTCGACTTTGTTTACAAAAACTAACGACGCGCTAGAGTTTTTATACACCGTGAGCCGGCTGATACCAATAGAAACAAGGTGATCGACTGGCGATCTAAAATTTGTCGATTTCATTTTAGACGATTACAAAGAGTCAGGTGACAATGAAAGCGCAGGGTTTCGTCGGAAGCTTAACCTTTTAGGTACGGCTCAATTCTGCGCGAGGCTATTTCTCTGGACGGCAGAGTCTGGTGTGTACTGTACAGAGTCTGATACTGTATATCCTGTCTGAATATATACAGGGTGTCCCAAAAATGTCTCGCAATCCGAAAGTGGCGGGTTCTTCAGGCCATTTGAAGCAACTTTTCCCTTTACAAAAATTTTCTCCGAGGCACCGTTAACGAGTTATTAACGAAAAACAGTGAGAACAGAGATCAGCTGCCGCGAGGTGGCCGAGCCAACGGCGCCAGCGGTCGAGCGGTCGAATTCCAGCTCAGCTGGCGCGAGGCGGCCGAGCCAGCGGCGCCAGCGGTCGAGGCGGTCGAATCCTAGCTCAGCTGGCACGAGACGGCCGAGCCAGCGGCGCCAGCGGTCGAGCGGTCGAATCCCAGCTCAGCTGACGCGCGGCGACCGAGCCAATGAGCGGAACTGAGCTTCGTGCGCTGGTTCGCTGGGCCACCTCGCGTCTGCCGTAACTCGATTCTTATTGGTCACTGTTTTTCGTTAATAACTCGTTAACGGTACCTCGGAGAAAATTTTTTTAAAGGAAGAAGTTGCTTCAAATGATCCGAGGAATCCGCTATTTCCGGTTTGCGAGACATTTTTGGGGCACCCTGTATATATACGATAACTAATAATTACATATAATTTATCAAGTTTCGGGAACGTTATTAACTATGTTTCACGGAAAAATTAATTTTCTAAAATATTCTGTCGCCCCGACGCAAGGATGCGGCGACGTTTACAGCATCGGAAAGAATGTTCACGATTTATGGCACTAAAGAAACGGCGATTCGATCGATTAGGGTCACGAATGCTTATGCATTTACAGCGATTTATACGCGCTAACATATTAAAACCGATTTAACATTAAAGTTCAGGCCTTCTCTGGATTGATCGGGGACAATTTTTTACCGCTTTCATCGAGTGCACCGATAAATATCTTCGGTAAGAATGTATTTGCGAACGACAGAAATGGCACAAGACGCCAGAGAGAACGACGAAGAGGCCAGCCTTGAACTCGAGAAGTGCCAGCGGACACGTTAATCAGTACGCCTTATGTTCCATTTCGATTTTTTCTTTTTTTTTTAATTCGATGAAACTTGAATCTCATGAAATTCATTGTTGTTAATATAATCTTTTAGCGATTCGATTTCGATGAGAGAAGCAGTCGCGGCGACTGAAAGAAGAAACCGAGAATTTGCATATAAACATCCGCGGCTCGATTCGAAGCCTCGTTACGACTCGAGGAGAAGAGCCTCTCGCGCGTCGTTAAATCGTTTCCCCGTCGACGTCTAAAGGATTTCGACGATTATTACAGGCAATTAGAGACGTGTACGCGTCACCGGGTGAAAGGATTTCAGTAAGCTGGCAGACGGTAATAGTAAGGCCTGTACGGTTGGTAGCCGTAAGCGTAATTATTGACACGGTGTTGCCTCTTCGCCTGCTGTTGCCTGTAGACGAACAAAGGTCTGAACACTTTCGCGTCCTGTGCCTCCAGGTCCTCGGAGTCCTTCCTTCTGCCGTCCGCCGCTTCCGGTTTCGCTGTCGCGCCGATGGACCTCGCCGATCTCGGAGCTGCGCCTCTTCGCGTCTGTTGTCTGACGACAACAACTGGTTTCTGCACAATCTCGATTTCTCCGTTGGTCGTCAGATGCTCCTTGGACTTCCCGTACGCCTCGATCTGTCATCGTTACAAAGATTTTCGTTCGCTCAGATTCGGATCGTTCGTTTTTGCGAGTACAGTTAATGTCTCTCTTAATTGACGCTCCGATTGTCCACAGAAATAGATCATTTAGGAGGAGGAGATACGATTATTTGAGCCTTACCGTTTATTGTTATAGTTTATTTATATAGTATATTATAGTATAGTATATAGTATAGTATATATAGTATAGTATATAGTATAATATATAGTATAGTATATAGTATAGTATATAGTATAGTATATAGTATAGTATATTATAGTATATTATAGTATATTATAGTTATTTCCGCAATTATAAAAACGAGCTGCAAGGCTCGAATAATCGTGTCTCCTCTTCTCAAATTGTCCATTTTTGTGCAGACATTACTGTATGCAAAACAGGGTGTTGCCGGAAACGCGACCGTCCTCGGCATTTTGATCGGAATCATGTTTTATATGTTCATAACGAACTTTAAAAATTAATGAACTTCATCTACCGGAAGTGTTTATACGGCACACTTAATTATTCCCCTGTGGCAAAAGACAGTTTAATTGGTCGTCTGTCGATTAACGATTCCGGAAGAAATGATTGAGTTAAATTGTCATTGCTGATGAAACGTGTACTAAATAATTTATTATAATAATATTAATAACTTCTGGTAAGCAACGTGTTGAATTCGGTATAGTTAACACTAGAATTACTAGTCAAAATAACTGGTTTCTTATTTTCTTTATTCACAGTTCCTGATGTTATAAAATATTATTATTAAAAATAATACTTTTAGGCACACTTCTTTATTGAAGCATATATTATAATGAAAAACTAGTTGCATTTAATATCGTAACAGCTAAGAATATCTTGATAAATTGTGATAGGCAGATGCCTTAAGAAGAATTAAATAAATAATAATAATATTATTATTATAATAATTATAATTATAATATTATTATTATTATTATTACAATTATAATATTACTATTATTATTATTATAATTATAATATTATCATTATTATAATATAAATATACAAAATAATAATATAAAAGAAAATACATTAGTCGCGTTTAGGACTCGATGGTTCCAATTAAATTCTAATTAAATCGTTGAAGCCTCTCGAGTTTTCTATTTCATTTAGGGTTCGATTGCAGGCACAAATATAAGTTACAAAAAGAATTCTACACGAGTTCGAAATTAAAATTCGCAAAGAAAACTGTAACAAGTAGATGTTTAAAAATAAATCATCCGTCAGAAATGAAAAATAACGAGCAGAACAAAGGGACGATAAAGCTTCGGCAAGGAGATCTAGGAGCTCGAGAATGAATTCCCAATTTCAACTCACCGATCTGACAATTCTCGGTCTGTACTCGATCACCCCCTCGACGTTCTTTTCCACGATCTCCTGAATGTGTCCATTATTCTCTAGATTCTTCTTCGCCGTTCCGTACGCTCGAACACCAGGAAGATCCTCGTCGGAGTTAATATGGATCTTCTCCACTTTCCCATCGAAGCCGGTCTGGTTTTCAATGTGCACTCTCCTGGTGCGGCTGTTCCCGCGGAATTTCCTCGGAAGCCGTGCCGCCGCGTTTCCGGCGTTCTGCAAATTCGGATCGGAGGAATCCGGCCGTGCGTCGGAGCTCTCCGCCTGCCAGGGCCTCCCAGCCGCTCCAATATCGAACGAGACCAAGAACAACAGCTGAAAATCGAGTGCAAAGGGTTAACAAATATAAACACATTCGATGATGTTGAAACTATTTCGGAACGTGGCACAGTAATTTTTATGGCGCCTCAGAGTCGCCACTCGAGTGTAAAAGGTTAATATAACTATACCAATATTGTTTAATTTCAAACGCGATATAGAAATAAATCATAATTAATATAAGATAAGAAAATGTTCTGCACAGAAATATTATCGCGTTTTAAATTAAACGATATTGAGATATTTTTATTAACGAAGGAATCGTATAATATAAAAACATGAGAAAATGTTTTGCACAGAAATTGTATCGCGTTTCAAATTAAACGATATTGGTATATTTTTATTAACGAAGGAATCGTATAATATAAAAACATGAGAAAATGTTTTGCACAGAAATTGTATCGCGTTTCAAATTAAACGATATTGGTATATTTTTATTAACGAAGGAATCGTATAATATAAAAACATGAGAAAATATTTCGCAGAGAAATTTTATAGCGTTTTAAATTAAACAATATTGGTATAGTTATATTAACCTTTTACACTTGAGTGGCGACTCTGAGGCGCCATAAAAATTACTGTGCCACGTTCCGAAATAGTTTGAACATCATCGAATGTGTTTATATTTTAAAAAACTGTGCGAAGCAGTTTTGTGTAACTGCTACTCGAGTCACAAAATTTAATGTCGTGTGTATAAAATGGAGTAAGTTATTTGAAATGGAAATATTATAGATCGGAGAAACTATTTTAGATTTCGAGTTAAAGTAGCTTCGAGTGTAAAGGGTTAACAAAGGAATCATGTAATATAAAAACATAAGAAAATGTTTTGCAAATTAAACAAGATTAGTATATCTTTATTAACAAAGAAATCGTATAATATAAAAACATAAGAAAATGATAATAATTCAATTCAATTTGTTGTTACAGGGTGGGACTCGAATAGTGTCACCGTGCCCCAAAGAGTTAACCCCTTGCTTTCTCAACGTGTCCGACACGTGACGGAGATTTAACCAGTTAAATATAAATGCTATTCCGTTGCGTTTAGTCTGAATAAAAATTCTGATTTCTTGTCATCGGTATTTATAAACATTTAGGTAAATGCAGACACACGATAAACATAAATTATCTTAATTCTTCTTAGAAATTATTACAATCGTAGAACTTCTAGTCACTGTAATTATGAAGAAAATGGTACGGCAAGGGGTTAAAGGTTGCCAACCAGACCCCAGATTTCGTGGATTCATAACAAACATAAGTAGTCGCGATGTTAACCCTTAGCACTCCGAACCATTCTGGACGTTGGCTACCAGCTACTCAGCGCCACTTTTCGGCAGAAACGGGCATTCACAGACCCTCGTATTATTTCGTATGGTTTTGGAACTAACTAACATATTATAATGATATTGGACTTATATGAATTTGGCTGAAATCGAGAAATTTGCAAAAAGATCGATATTTTATTTTTTATAATTTTGTTATTGTTTGTTTTATAATTTTGTTTTGTCGTTGTAATCGCTACCTATGCGAACTCTTTCTCTCGTCGCCTTGTTGCTTGGACGATATCACTATCACTGCTATCAAAACGATAGACTAACTGTAGAAGAAAACCTTCTACAGTTAGTCTTTCTAACATATCTGTATAAACGTCTATCTGGAGCTCATTTTCACTGCTACTTGTGTCATGAGACTTATTCGTGTTTGAACGTTTTGCCATTGTTCTAATAAAAAATATGAATAAATACATAGGTTGAAAATTTCTAATTGTTATTACTAACTCGCAAGATGATATTTACCAAAAAAAACTTTTACCAAACAATTTATTTACCAAGAGAAGAATCACTTTTCCGATTTTCTAACTCGATAGATCTATCTATACCGCGCGACGCTTCAAACCAGACTGAGCTCAGCTTTGAAAATCTTTTTCTCCAGATTTTATGATTATAAATCTCACTATACAGTGCATGCTATGTTCGCATACCGATCTTTCTTCTACAAACTTGCCTTATCGTTCTTTTCAAATGACGCCTTTGAAGTGCTCGGACCGTCGTGAGCACGCCTCTCACGTTCTCGTCAAAACCCGCTGACATTTCTTGTGTGTGTGTGTGTGTATATATCTTTTATATCTTTACTATATTATATAGTTATATATAGTATAGTATAGTAGTAGTATAGTATAGTAGTAGTATAGTATAGTAGTAGTATAGTATAGTAGTAGTATAGTATAGTAGTACTATATATAGTATAGTATACTTTTATATCTTTACTATATTATTATATCTTTTACTATATTTTGATTTGACTTCTTGTGCCATTTCAAGAGAAAACTTCAGGGAAACATGCATGTCTGAAAAAGTTGCGCTGAAATAACTCAATTCCCCGTAATCACTAATAAACTGCCCACTAAATAACTGTCCCACGAGAGGGGACATCCGAGTGATATGCTAGAATTATGATGTACCACGAGAGGGGACAGCAGAGTACAAAGGGTTAAGTTGCACTCGGGTCGCTGGAGATCGTCGATACGATTTCAATCGTGGCTCACGGTGGTTCGCAGTTTCGAGATAACGATAATCATTGTCGAGGAACAATCGGAGACTTCCTGTTTCGCTCTTTCAATCCGGAGAAAATGGAACGCCTTATACTTCGTAAAATTCAGTATGAAAATAACTCTTTCGTTTGTCTACGGTGTTAAGAATCGTTGGACAATTTTAAGCTAGTTTTCGCTGTATTTTCTGTTGCAAACAAGCCGAGGCTTTGTTTAAAAATCGATCAAAAAGCAAGCAATCGTTTAAAAACTCGTGGCAAAAATAAAGCAATTGTTTAGACTTGAGTGGAGGTAAAAGAATCGTTTAAAAACTCGTGGTAAAAATAAAACAATTGTTTAGAAACTCGCGTGGAGGTAAAAGAATCGTTTAAAAACTCGTGGTAAAAATAAAGCAATTGTTTAGAAACTCGCGTGGAGGTAAAAGAATCGTTTAAAAACTCGTGGTAAAAATAAAGCAATTGTGTGGAAACTCGCGTGGAGGTAAAAGAATCGTTTAAAAACCCGTGGTAGAAATCAAATAAATATTTAAAAGATATATAACCGTTTAAAATCCCGCGCAAAAATATATAAATACGTAAAAACCCGTGTAAAAATATATAAATACGTGAAAACACCCGTGCAAAAATATATAACCGTTTAAAATCCCGCGCAAAAATATATAAATACGTAAAAACCCGTGTAAAAATATATAAATACGTGAAAACCCGTGTAAAAATATATAAATACGTGAAAACCCGTGGAAAAATATATAACCGTTTAAAATCCCGCCCAAAAATATATAAATACGTAAAAACCCGTGTAAAAATATATAAATACGTGAAAACCCGTGCAAAAATATATAACCGTTTAAAATCCCGCCCAAAAATATATAAATACGTAAAAACCCGTGTAAAAATATATAAATACGTGAAAACCCGTGCAAAAATATATAACCGTTTAAAATCCCGCCCATAAATATATAAATACGTAAAAACCCGTGTAAAAATATATAAATACGTGAAAACCCGTGCAAAGATATATAAACGTTTAAAAATCCGTGTAAAAGTGCACCAACGTTAGATGCCGATAAATAAATAGAATGTCAGAATATAAATAGAACGTCTTTGAAAACCGTGTAAAAAGAATCCCGGATGTGCAAAACACGTTCCAGTCAATCGCGTTACATCCCGCGCCGATTTTTATTAACCAGTTAGCTGTGTTCGACGAGTATACTCGTCGCGGAGAAACGGCAATATTTTGTGACACGACGAGTATACTCGTCGTGCGTAAGAAGCAGCGACCATTGGCTATTTAAATTGTAATTTTAAGGAAAACAAAAACATATTCTCGAATTTCAAGATGTTCAGAATATTTCGCGGCCGATCCTGCGCGAAGTTGTTTACATTGTTGTAAAAATAAAATTAGAAAAGAATCACGGTATTGGTGTTCGACGTGCAAAGTGCCATTACATATTGTTCCTCGCTTCGCTAAATACCACTCTCTCTACAGCAGCAATTTGAATTTTTCACTTTTATAAGTATTAGATTATCCCTGGGTTTTTCGTTTATTATGTACACGGTATACGTTAACGTCAAGCGAATAAGTAAATATTAGTAATAAAATTGTTAATTTTATCAAATAAAACTGTCTCTTCGATCCAATATTTTAACAGCGACACTTACATTGTGTTCGACGTGTATACTCGTCGTCGCTTGATTCTCGCGACACATATAGGTGCGCGCGCTGAAACGGAGGCGCCACAGCTAACTGGTTAAAAGTCGACGGAAGACGTACGAACGAATTTTCGACGCGCGAGAGGGATGAAAGAGAAGATCTCTTACCAATAGCGCGGTCCACATGGTGGTCGACGGTTCGTTCGGTCGCGGTTGTTTCACTGCGGTTTCCGTTTCGGCCGAGACTTAGGTCGCGATTGGGAGAACAGATTGACCGAGCATCGGTTATATACGCGGCGCGTTTACGATCCCGAGGAATGCGATTAAGCTGCGGCCGGTATGCAGATTTTCTTGTAGAGAGGGAATCCTGCGCGAAATGAGTCAGCCTCGCGTACCACGGGTCCCGAAGAAAGGTAAGAAAGGACGCCTCGGATCGTTTTGTTTTTCTGCTTCGGTATCGGGCGAAAGCTTCCCCCTCCCCTCCCCGCCGCCGACGCCGCCGCCGCCGCCGGCCCTCCCTCTCCAAACCATTTTGGATTCCGGCGGCGTCATCCGTGCCTCCCACTTTTGATACCGCTTCATCCGATAGCGGTATCGTTTGTAACATTCGCGATTCGCCTGTTTTTCTCTTCCCTGTAAGAATACGTACGGACGCGTCGTACCTACGCGCAACGAAACGAGCAAATTCTTACGGGGAGGAAGGAACAATATTTTTTTTCCCCCGTGCGCGTCGAACGCGCACACGTGCGCATCGAACGCGTTGATATTCATTCGCGACAGATTTCTTTCATCGCTTTACCGGACGAACAGCTTTCTGGCGAAACCGCTCGTTAAACCGTTATCAATGAATAGAATTAAAACGACTATTATTATTATTTTTTAAAAGATTTTTTTTTATAACTCCCTTGATATTCGTGAATCTTGAGAATTAAAAATTGTACGAATAAACGTACGTCAACACATATAAATATTAAAGATTTAGAAAAAGCATGAACAATTATATGATAAAATTTAAATTCAATATATGCTAGACTCAAAATTCTTGTTATAAATTCTAATTGACTCAGAGTAGATAAAGCGATAATTTTTTTTAAATTTATTTCAAAATTTGCTATTAATCCAGGCATAAATATTGTAAATCTAAAAATAATAAATAAATATAATATTATTATTAAATAAATGTTATATTATTATTATTAATATAATTAAACATACTATTAAATCGAATTAATAAGTATAACCCAGCAGTAACTAATGTCGAAGATTGTACCAGTGATGAAATTTGTGTTGGGGTTGTCATTGTAACTGAGCACATTTT